GGTAGTAGTATGGCAATAGCCCTGGGCCCCGGTGTCTTCACCCATCTGATAAGAGGGGAAATCAGTGGAAGGTGGGGAAAATTCTGCGAAAATAAGAGAACTCTAGGAAAAGACTGTCTTCTCCTTTGCTAATCACTGTCAGGTCTAGATGTAATGCCTGGAACTGCAGCAGCCATTTTGTGGCCCTGAGGGGTTTAACAGAACAGAAAGATGAAAAGGACGTTGGTCCTTGATGACACCACTGAACGGCTGAATGAACCAACCCTGGGGCCACCCTACCTTAGGGCTTCTTACGATTATTCAAGACAATAAATTTTCTTTCTCGTTTAAACCAGTCGAGTCAGGGTTTTCTATTTGGCCAAAATCTTGCAACTACAAGTATAAATGTTTTATCCCCGTCTTACAGATGGAGAAAGTGAGACCAAATGAAGTAAACATCCATATCTAAGGACACACAGCCTGAATGTGGTGGAGCCAGGATTTGAACCCTCTTTCTCAGGAGGAGAATCTTTCTAGGGGGTGGCAGGAATGTTTTTTTACTGAAGTGTTTTTGCCCATTCCAAAGCATGTTCCATTTCTCCGTAGCAGCAGGCTGTGGTGGTTTCTGACAGGTAAGGAAAGACCGGAGAGGTTGAGAGGGGCCTGGAGCTCATAGTCGAGGTCTGCAGATCTCAGCTTAGGGGCTTCGTGCACCTCACGGCCCTTAGTGACATTAGAAAGTCTCCCTTGCTCTCAGCACCCCTCAGATTGGGGGGCACCCTTTGGATCCCGCAGATCTGCCCTTGGCCAGCACAGGGTGTGGCTGCTGAGATCCTGAAGATCGCCCACCAGGGGCCGCTGTGGTCACACCCAGGGGCCTCAGAGGCATGCTAAGGAAAACCTGGAACCTGGGACAGGGTGCAAGAGCCTTCACTCGAGCTCCCCTTAGGTGTGTTCTGAGGCTGTGAGACCCCGGAAATACCCTCACCCCAGCCCCAAGAAGGAGAGAAGGGAGCCTAGACCTGCCTCCGGAAGGTTTAGGACCAAGGTGCTGTGCGCCCCCAGGCAAGTTGCCTCCCCTCTCTGAACCTCGGCTTCAAAAATAGGGGTACTCATCCCCACTTCTCAAATGTGGGCTTCCTCTCTCTCCCTGAGGGTCCTCCCCTTCCTTTGTGCCTAGTTCAACATGGCGGACAAAGACCAGTCAGGATGCAATGGCCCCAGAAATAAGGCCCAGGTGACTCAGGTTCAGGGTTGAGTGCTCTGTGCTCTGCCACGGTGTAAGTCCTCGTGTTGCAGTTGGGGAAAATGAGGCCCAGAGAGGTGAAGGGGCTCGCTCAGGTCCCCACAATTGCAACAGAAGAGGCAGGACTCAGTATTTAGTGAAGTCTTGTTTGTTCCTTGGGGTGTTAAATAGATAGAAACAAAAATTTAAGGGGTCAAAAAAAGGGAATTGCTGGGTGAAAGCTCAAATGTGGGCATCGTGCATCTGTAATATGTTAACGTGATTTGCGTGTCTCCGAGAGGGGGGCCTCGCGTCTGTTTCTCACACTCCGTTGACTGGGAAACCCGCTTCCCAGGGGGACTTGGAAATCGGCTGGATTAGAGGGTGACGGGAACAACACACCTAACTTCACTGCGCATTTTCAACAGCTCTGCACTCCCTAGGGGAGTCGAGCACCCATCGCTTAGGTTGAACCCCCACGGGACGTGCTTTGAAATATCAGCCTCACTTTGCAGTTGAGAAACAGGTGACTCGGAGAGGGGCGGTCACCTGCCCGAGGCCACGTGCTCCTGCTGGGTCTGATGCTCAAACCACGGGGTCCCCCTGCACTGTGCGGGGGAAGGGGGTCCCTCTTGCAGGACTAATCGGCCTTAGCCTGACCGCACATCTCCCGATGCCATCCCGGTCCTTCAGGCGCCACCGTGAGGCTTGGAGAAGCCACCTCAGTCGCCCAGGGTCACATGGGGGGTCAGTGGGATACTGAGACCAGTTTTCCTGCCCCCTCCCCTTCCCCGGCCACTGTGGCGAGCTGGTGGTGGCGGCAATGTAAACGGAAAACCTCTCGTGCAACTGGCGGTCCCACCCCGCCGGCCAGACCCCACCTTTCGGCGCCCAGCCCCGGGAGCGGGGCGCGGTCCTCCCGGAGCACCCGGGACGCGCAGGCGCAGTGGGACGCGGGCGCGCACGGAGCCGGGCGCGAAGTCCTGGCTGCAGCGCAGGGAGCTGAGCGGCGCGGGTTCGAAGTCGGTGTTTTGAGATCCAGTTCAGGAGTTCGAACTGGTCTCAGCTTCCCCTCCTGGGAAATGCGGGAGTGAGCTCAGGACAGGGATATGAGTCGAGAAAACACAGAGCCACCCTGGAAAGGTGAGTGACCGCTCATATCGGTTCCTCTACCCAGATCTGCGCCGGAGCCCCCACAGCCCTCTGGGGCAGCTCGGTAAGGTCACCTGTCTCCGATCTGGGGTGATCGTCTAATGGTTGCTGTGACCGTAAGCGATAATAATAGTGGAGGTTATAGGCCGGCACACCTGGCTCCCATACTGCGTAGACGCGACCTAAGGGGTGCGAGCCCGAGAGGGCATCGCTTAAGGGGGAGGAGGAGGAGCGTTTGTCACATCAGAGAGACTTAGAGGTCCGGGCAGCCAGGGCCGTGGGACCCAGAGCTGGGCCTGGGTTCTGGAGCCAAACAGGCCACATTTGGGGGTTGGCAGTTTCACCTTCTCCGCAGAGTGCCACAGTTAGAGCTCAGATTCTGAGTCAGACGGGCCTGTGTTCTCGCCCAGGTGCTTCTCTGTTTTCCAGCCTCAGCTGTGTGACTTTAGGCAAAGTGATTGCCCTTCTCTGGGCCTCGTTAGCCTCGTCTGTAACGTGGGCGTGCGCGCCCCTGTTGTGCTGGGTGGCCGTGAGGACTGAATGACGTCTGGCGTCTGCCTGCAGTGGCTGTGGGCTCTTGGCGATTACGGCAGTGGTGGTGATGTCGCCTTTGTCACCTGTCCTGACCCACCAGTGTGGTAATCAAAGGCGAGTGCATGAAGAAAGGGCGGGGCTACCGCATGCCAGAATGGCTGTCCTGGAGCAGCCTTCGAGATCAGCCAGCTCAGCTCCCAGATGGGGAAACTGAGGCCCAGGGAGAAAGGACCCAGCCAGGGCACACAGGGAGTCAGTGCTGGGACAGGGCTGGGCTCCTGGGGCCAGGGCTGGCCCCAGACTGTGCTGTGTGCCCTTCCTTGCCATGCACACAGACCCCACGCTGCAGAGGACGAGGTTTTTCCAGGCTAGCAGGGGGTCCCCCGCCCAGGTCTCCAAATGTGAGGAACTCGGCCACTCGCCTCGCTCCCCTCTGCTGATGCCCAGCGTGTGTCGGCCTGGTGGGTGGCCAAGTTGGTGCTTCAGTGGCTCCAGTGGTGACCCCTGGGAAGAGCTGAGCCACAGGCCACCTGGCCCTAGGCCTTGCTGCCCTGCCCTGCCCTGCCCCTCCCGAGTGCTCACACTGTGCTTTTGTTTCAAGTTTGTCTCTGGTTCTGGTGCTGTCCCGTGTGGGGACAGACTGGTTCAGCGTCACTCAAGGTAGCAATGCTGGGATTGAGACCTAAGTCTGGCTCACTCCGGATGCCGGGCCTGCTGGGCTCTTGGGGGTGGGGCTTGGACAACGCGTCTGACGCCAGAACACCTGGCTCCCTCTTACCATCCTTGTGGCCGTTTCTCAGTTTTTCTATGTCCTCATCTGTAAAATGGGCATGATTTTACCACCTACCTGATAGGGTTGTTGTGAGACTCAAGTGAGGTCAGAAAGGCACTTTGCCAACTGCTATCTGAGCTAATTATATACTCTTTGTAATTATTCCCACTGCCTTCCTGTAGCTCTGACTCTCCCAGCTCGCCAAGCAGGAGCACCTGGGCTCCTGCTCCCTGTGGGCTGGGGTGATGCTGTTGGCTCATTGGCCCAGCTCAGAAGGGCCTGGGGACCTGCCCTGGACCCAGCCCCTTCCTCTCGCAGCCTCCGTTTCCTCCTCCGTTTCCTCCTCCGCGGACTGTGGGTCACTGTGGGGCTGCAGGAGGACTGCTGGCTCTGGGTGCTGCTGGCGTCAGGGGCCTGGTCCTAGGGAGGTGGACGACCCCAGCGCAGGGTCGAATCCCCTCTGCCCTGGACCTCACCATGCCAGCCACCTGGGCAGGGCTCTGTGAATGGGAGGGGCTGGCAGGCCAGGGGAGAAGAGCCAGGAGGAAGCGAAGGCAGGGACAGAACGCAAGGAAGACTCCATGCTGTGGGGTTCGGACCCCAGCTTTCTGCCGACTTGCTGTGTGACCTCAGGCAGGTCACTTCACATCTCTGAGTCTTAGTTTCTTGCTCTCAGACACCTCCCACCTTGCCAGGCTGTTGTGAGGCGCCAGCGAGATACGGCATATATGAAAACGCCTGGTACACAGTCAGTGCCTGATAAATGCTGAGCTCCCAGGGGCAGGGGTGGCCTCCTGCAAACCCCCGGGCACCAGGGCGGTGGCGGGGGGGCGGTGTGCTGGGGTGTCTGGCCTGGCTGGGATGGGATTGGCCAGGGAGATGGCTGCTGACCAGCCCCTGGGGCCTGTCCCTAGCCTCGCTGCCACCATGGAAACTTGGAGCATGCCAGGCACGGAGAAAGAGCTGGGGAGGAACTTGGCGATGTGGGGATGCCGCCCCCAGACCCCCATAGCACCACAGCGGGAACGGGCCAGAGGGCCAGGTCTGGTTCTGTCTCCGCCGCGCTAGGGACCTACTGCTGGCCATGACCCAGTGGCCTTCAGCCTGCGTGCTCACGGAACAAGGCAAATGAGTGTCCACCTCGGAATAGCTGGAGTGGCAAAGGAAGCACCGCGTGCGGACTGTGCCCTGCACACTCGGTACCGGGAGGTCCCCGGCCTGCTTCCCTGGGGGACTCCGGTCAGCGGGGAAGGAGACAGCCTGCTTTACTCCTGAGGGAGGGAGGGAGGGAGGGAGGAAGAACGAACGAAAACATGAGCTACAAAGCAATCGGACAGCTGAGACACCATCTGTGTTTTCCTTTTTTTTTCTTTCTCTTCGTTTTTAAAACAATATAGTGCAGACTGCACTTCTCACAGTAGAATATAATGGTCAATTTTAGTATAAAAAAAAAACATTCTCAGAGATTTGTAAATGCACTTAGTGCTCGAACAGGCCTTGGAGAGAGATACAGTACCGCTTCTGGAGCGCCAGAGGGGCCGGGGCTTGGGGACTCGGGGCCTTGCGGACTTGATGGAAGGGTGGACTCCTGCCTACCTTCCCCTCCTCGATGGTGTGGGACAGGCCTTGGAGGGTCGTTTGCAGGAACGGAGTTGGATTGGGTCTCCCTGTTAAAACCAGTAGGTTGCCCCCTCACTGGCTCCCAGGAGACCCCCCGAAGAAGGCAAGTTAGGGTCCCTCTGAATGGGGTCTAAGATTGCAGGCCCTTTGTTAGCTCCTATGGCGCCTTTGTGCGAATAGGAAAATGGTGCTCCTTCCTCAAAATGCGGAAAATTGTAATAAATATACAAGTTTAGGATGCAAGTGGTGTCTCCTTGGATGAGGTGCACTTGTGCAGTGCACAGCCTGCACAACTGTGCCCAGCAGCCCTGTAAGATATATTAGAGGGAAGGGGGAAGACGGTAGTCCAGGGTTTGGAGAACAGGGATGGGTTAGGAAGGAATGGTGGGGGTGGAGGGTGGGAGGAAAGCGGAATCAGTAGTCCCTGGGGCCTCTACCGGAGTGGTCTTCACCTGGATTGGTTGGTTGGGGGACACTCTGGGCCCAGTGACTTCCTATAGGCCCCCTTTCTTTGCTCCTTTTCTAGGGGACTGGGAGCTCATGTGGGAAAACTCAGCCACCTGACCCCTGGGGGCTGCTCTGACCCTCACCCTGACTCTGGAGTGTCCCACTTCCTCCTGCATCCCACCCTGGCCTGAGCCCCTCTCCCAGGAGACCCGGAAAGAACCATTCCTGTTTTTAAGTGGTTTCTCTCTCCCTGCCTCCGCCAGCTTTGATGGAGGAAGGCGTGGACGTCAGCAGATGCCCCGGGGCCCTCCCCGTGTCCTGGGGCAGCTGATGGTGGGACAGAGCCTTGGTGCTTGAGGTCACCCTGCCACCCCCCAACCGGCAGTGACGAGGCAGAGGCCAGCCCGGCTTCCCTGTGGGCATCGGCAAGCACAGGGCAGGGCGGGGCGCCCCCGCGAGCCGCTCACCCTGTTCTGCGGCCTGCCTCCCCCTGCAGCGCCCTGTCCGTCCACCCGCGTGTCCGCTGGGCAGACCTTATCTGTAGACGGGCAGGCGGATGTGGGCGTGCTGGTGGTCGAGCAGCCGGGGCACAGCCACCGTCTCGTAGCCCTTGCCCAGCATCTGCTCCTTGATGCAGGGCGGCCGGATGTCGTTGATGAGATACTCCAGCGACTGCAGGCTGCTGCTCAGCACCGACGTGTTGCACATGCTCTTGCTGGGCAGGCCCGACAGGGCGTCCGCGGGAGGCCCAGCCAGCTCCCGGGATGCCCCAGGCCCCAGCTCGGTGACCGCCACGGCCGCCGCCGGGTTGTAGCAGTCGCTAGTGGGGGTCACCAGCACGCTGTTCCAGGGTGCAGCGAAGTACTGGCCCACGGTGAAGCTGGCGGGCAGCCCCACACCGCAGTTGAGGGGCGACCCACTGGCCCACTCGTACGCCCGGGCCCCGCAAGCCTCAGGGGACTTGCTGGCCACCGTGCTACTGCTGTAGGCACGCAGTGGCTGGGGCGGCGGCGGGGGTGGCTTCTGTGGCCACAGCAGGTAATCCAGGCCGGCGTCTGCGTACCCTGCAGGCTTGGCGGCCCCGGCGAGTGTCAAGGCTGGGGTGGCTCCGTGGCCCAGCTCGGTGCCTTTTCGGCAGTCGGGCAGACCGGCAGCGGCCGAGTAGGCCATGCTGGGGAAGCTGGGCACCGGGCCGTGCTTGGCCGGGCTGGGGTGGGGAACGGCCACGCCCTGGCAGGCAGCGGGTGCGGCGCCTGGGGCCTGGCACTGCTGGTTGAGCTGGTAGAGGATGCTGTGGATGGAGGGCAGGTTGGAAGGCGGCAGGGGCAGGCCCCGGCCCGGCAGGGGGATGACAGAGGCGGCAGTGGCAGCTGCGGGCAGGCTGGGTGGCGGGGCAGGCGCCTCGGGCGGCTTGGGGTAGGCCAAGGGCCCCAGAGTGCTGGGCGCCGGGTAGGGCGCGATGCCCACCTGCACGGCGGCCGGCGACAGTTTGGTCCGCTTGCCCTCGGCGCTCTTGAGCACGCTTTTGGTGGGCCCAGCGGGTGCGGCCACACTGGAGGAGGAGACCGCAGCCTTGACGATGGCCAACAGGCCCTGGTAGCCGGTGGAGTGCTGCGGGTAGGGGCTGTAGCGCTGGCCACTGGTGTCATAGCCGTTGACGGTGCGGCCGAGGTGCTTGTGCTGGGGCACGCGGATGTTGGTGGGGAAGATCTTGATGGACAGCGGGCTGTTGGCCACCTTCTCGGCGTAGGCATCCAGCTCGGCCGGGCTCGGGTAGCGGGAGGAATGCATGGAGCTGGCCACCGCCTCGCCTGCACGGGGACAACACACAGGTGAGAGCCCACCGGAGCCCCCGCGGCCACCCCCGCTGCTCCCCACGGGACCCGCACGCCGGCCCCTCCCCTCGCTCTTGCCGCGATTCATTCCCTTCTCCTCCCTCCATTGCTTCTGTATTTTTAAACTTTGGATTTATATGTAAAGTACAACAAGGAAACAGCACACGTCAGAAGCTTGAGAACTTTCACAGAAGGAGCACACCTGTGTAATCACACCCAGGCCAAGAGATAGGACACTGCTAGTCCCCCGTGTCCCCACCCAGTCCCTAACCACACCCGTGTTTACCGTTAGCCTGACTTTGACAACACGCACAGCTCATGCCTGGTTTTGGGGTAAGATGGAGTCCTGCAGTACGTGCTCATTTCATCTGGCCTCTGTCCCTAATGCTACGTGAGATTCATCCAGGTGGCCGCGCATGGCAGAGTTTGTCGTCCTCACTGCCGTGTGGCGCTGTCGTGTGACTACACCACAGTCTGCTCAGCTTTCTACTCTTGATGGCGTTCGGGTTGTTTGCAGCTGATCCAAATAGCACCGCGACCCCTGGCGCACACCTGAGTTCTGTTGAGGACACGCCCTGGAGTGGAACTGCTGGGTCCCGGGGGAGGCATCTGCCCAGCGTTAGGAGAAAATGCCCAACAGTTTGCCCAAGAGGTTGTGCCAGGCTACACTCCGCCCGCAGAGCACGGGCGTCCCGGTGGCTCCACGGCCCCCAAAGACACTGAGTCTCGTCTTTTGCTTGTTCACCACTCTGGTGGCGTCAGTTTCTTTTGTCCCTTTCCTTATCCTTCGGTGCCTCCCCGCCTCACCTGTAAAACGGGGCGATGCCCGCCTGCTCCGTGCACAGAGCGCGGCACGGGGACAGTTGCCAGGAGGGGCCGTGCTGGGGGAGCTGTTGGCTTTCACCTTGCTCGGGCTGGAGGGAGGTGAGGAGGGGTTTCACCCCCTGCCCCCGCCTGCTGCCCAGCCCCTCCCCGAGTCTGCCAGCCACCTGCAAGGCCAACGTGGCAGCTACTGCCTTTTTAGTGAGCTGTCGGCGTGGGCTGAAGGGTGGGCTGTGCCAGGCTGGCTGTCCCTACTGTTAGTGGGCACAACTGGCCCTGCCAGCGGAGGTGGGCCATGGGCAGGCAGACCCCTTGCTCTCATCCAAAGCCCCTCCCTGGCCAAGCCATTCCCAGGTGCAGCCCACGGCCTTCCCCGGGGCCCACTGTGTAGGGAGCGAGGCGGTGGTGGGGGCTCTGTGAGCAGGCGGAATGGCCCTGGGCAAGCTGTTTGACCAGCTGTGCCTCAGTTTCCCCACATGTGGATGGGGGGGTGGTGATTGTGCCAGATCTGCAGGGTGGCCTCGAGGAATGACAATGGCAATGTCAGTGACAACAGGGGCGAGGTGCACAGTAGGTGCTGGGAGAACATGACTCCCAGGGGGACTTGGGAGAGGGGCTGCACCACTCTGAGCCTCAGTTTCCTCTTCTGTAAAATGGGGGTGATGCTGCTGCTAACACCACCTCCCAGGGCAGCTGGGAGGGTCTGAGCAGTCACGTGTGGTGGCAGCGCCGGCATCAGAAGCTGGTGCTCTGTGCTTGGGGTATTGATGCCCCCCCCACCTGCCCGGGGAGAGGGCCCTCCTGGGAGGGGAGGGGCAGGGGGCACATGCCGCCCTTCTGACTGCCACCGGGGGGGGGGCTGACATTGTGGCTGGGGGTGGAGCGCAGCCCTGCTGCCTCCCCTAGGCCTCCCCACTGATCAGAAGGCCACACGCCACGTCCCTTCTAGAGCCTCACTCTCCACCCCTCGTGGGCTCACAGGCAAATGAAATACGTGCTGTGATGGGAGGCGCAGGCAGTGTTGGGACATGGGGAGACCCAGCCGGGGCCTCACAGCTTCTGGAAGGAGCAGCATCCCAGTTGAGTCCCGAGGTGCTGATGGAGGGTCATGAGGGGGGAGGAGAGAAACAGATTTCAGGCAGAGGAAACGGCCGGGGCAAAGGTGCGGAGGTGAGGAAGTATATGTCCCCGTGGGAACTGTAAGTAATTTAGGACGCAAGCAGGAGCCCAGAGCAGGCTTTCGGAGGACAGGTGACCAAGAGAGGTGGCCTGGGAGGGCCGTGGGCCAGAGCAGGGAGACCCTCTTCACCGCGGGACAGCGCCTCTCACTGCAGGCGTGCTGGCCACGTCTGGAGGCGTGTCTGGCTGTCACGACTGGCAGTGGAGGTGCTCCTGGGACCTGGCGGGTGGGAATCTGAGATGCTGCTGAGCGTCCTACAATGCACGGGGCAGCCCCCACCACAGGGGATCGTCCAGCCAGGCGTCAGCAGGACTCGGGCATCGGGCAGGCTGGGAAGGTTTTAAGCAGGGTGGGGTGGGCCAGGCCTATGCTTTAGAAAGCCCGTTCCCCTCGGCCCTGGGGTGAGGGTGCGGGTACGAGCTGGGCAGGAGCAAGTAGGCAGCACCGCGCACCCTGAGGGGGCTGGGGCAGCCCCTCTGTCCCTCCGGCCTAACCTGGGCTGGGCAGGTGGAGCCCTGACTCTGCCTGGGGCAGCCCCCTCCTAAGTGGCCTAAAATAAACCCGGTGTGGAGAATGGAAATGTCACTTTGGCCAACGGGGGAATCTTTCTCCGAGATTGGATTTAAACTACATTATACAAGCAATTTCATGGGCACTTAGCGCCACTCGGAGAGTCCCGCAAAAAAGGGACCAGCTCTTCATTTACCAGCCATAAATCAGCAGTTGCTATAATGAGCACAAAAATGTCACTTTTATGCAATTTTACAGATGAACAAAACTGGTGAAATTAACTGTGGTAACCTACTAGAGTCAGCAAAAGCAGCTGCTGGGGAAAAAAAATTATATCTGTATGTATTTTTGTTCCTCTTAAACTCTCTTCCCAAGCAAGTTTCTGCCATTGTGGTGTGAAAACTCATTTGTCCTCACCATTATACTTTCATTTGGAGTTTATCTTGAGTATCCAATGAGCCACCAACTGTGAAAATGATTAAATCTACAAAATCTATCTAATGGATGGAATAAATTAGGTGTTTAAAACCTTAAGAAGACAAAAAAAAAAAAAAGGCATGCGTGTTCCCATTCCTCATTCATTGAAAGAAGGGGCGTCTTGTCCCCACCTGGTCAACAGGGCTTATCGAGGGTGGCTTGGTCCCTTCAGCTGTCGTCGGAGCTGGCAGTCGCGCGGTCACACAAAGGCTCATTGGGTGAGCACTCAGTTATGTGCTAGGCTCTGTGCCCACGGCTTTTCTTGGTGATTCTTGTTTGGAGGATCCGGCAACCCCGAGAGGTGGGAGGGGCTCCCCATTTTACAGATGAGGAAACAGACAAGCTATGGCATTTGGCAGCCAGCCTCTGAGATCCGTCATCCCCATGTGATTGTTACATCTCCCGCTATCCAGACCCTTGTACAGTACCCGGGACCCACATCGAACAGGACTGACCTGTGTCACCAGTACGATATTATGGAAGTGAGAGTGTGTGGCTTCTGGGGCTTGGTCATAAAAGACACTGCGGCTTCCTCCTTGCTCTCCCCGACCACTAGCCCCGGGGGAAGCCACTACTGCTCGAGGACGCTGGAGCAGCCCGTGGAGAGCGCGCCCCGAGCAGATACGAACGGCGGCCTCCAGCCCACAGCTGCGTGAGCCTGCCGGGAGCAGAGCCTCCAGCCCTGGTCAGGCCTTTGGATGAGCCTGCAGCCCTGGCTGCTACCCTGACCGCAACCCCGCTGAGCTGCTCCCAAATTCCTAAGCCACAGAAACCACGAGGAATGCTGAGTGATTACTGGTGTCTGAAGCCTCTGGGTTTGAGTTTTGCTTGTTCCAAAGCAGTAGATAACTCGGGTGCTTGTCTCACAGATGAGGACACGCGGGCTCAGAGGTTCCCAAGAGCACACAGCCAGCAAAGGGTGGAGCTGGAATTCAGACCCAGTCTGTCTGCTTTCCAGGTCTTCTTCACCCCACCCCGAGGCCCTCCCTCCTCTTTTGATGAGGCGGACGGTGCTAAGGACTGGGGGCTCCGACCCATCAGAGGCCACCCAGCTGGGCACTTCTCACTCTGCCTTCGGCTTCTCCCGTGCTCCTAGTGGCCGGTCACCCCGAGCCCAGTCTCTCCTGGGGACGTGTGTGGTGGGCTGCTCAGTGCCTTCAGGTGGGGCATGGACCTCCAGGTCACCAGAGTCCCCGATCTCAATCCTGCTCTGGTCACGGTGCCCCGGTGGCCCCTGGAAGCCTCTGGGTTTGCAGCCCCTGCTTTATACCTCGTTCCATGACGAACTTTCTCCTGAGCCCAGCCCCGGGGCCCTCAAACCCAGTCTGTTGCACCAGAGTACAGTGGAGGTGGCTTGGGGTGCCACCTGGGCCCGACCCCAGCCTGGTGAAGGCGCCAGGCCCAGCCACGAGTGTTCCGTGTTGATTGCACAGTGACACAGGAAAAGGCTGCACACGGGGGACCCGGGTGAGCCCGTGGTCTAGGATGGGCTGCTTAGCAGAGGCGAGGATGGGGGTTAACGTGGGGCGGTGGAGGGGGCCCGTTGAATAGGACGTGGCGGAAGTGGCACTGTGACTCTCACGGCTCAGTTGTAAAAGCCAACGTGGCTTCCACCTGCAGTGTGCTCACGTCCATCCTTGGAACCCGGCCACCGTGTTCCCAGGAAGCTGGGGCCGGCATCAAGCTCCAGACTTGTGCACGAGCAGGTCTGCAGAAGGCGCCAGTGGCCCCTGCCCCCCGGGATACCACGGAGCAGACGCGCACCATCCCCCCTGCGCCCCGTCCCCCCAGCACGATAAATGTCTGTTTGACACGGCAGAGTTTTGGGGTAACTTGTTACGCAGCCGCAGGTAGTAGCCGGCCCAGCGGGGTGTGGGGGGCTGTGAGTACAGGGTGGGGGGCAGAGTCAGTGAGCAATGTTCCCTGATACGACAGTTCCTGAGTACAGCTTGGAAGGAGGTACGGGAGGGAGCCCCACAGACACCTG